CTGCTGTTGTCCTGGGGCATGTGGGAATCAAATTGTCCAACATGGTGGAAGGACCCTCCAGTGGGTCCTGGGTCAAGTGCCGCGGGCCCGGCGAGGCTCACTGGATCCGTGGATGCCACCAGGGCTGAAGACGTCCGCTCCAGGCCACGCCCGCCACGGCGTTCCCCCGTCCCCTGCGTTCCAGCAGAGGGAGCCGGGCCGTATGCATCCTGTGATGTAGGAAGTCCGTAATAAAAGTTTGGGCCTGACGTATGGTCTCGGCTTTTAGTCTGTGGCCCAGTCTGCGTTGGGCCCAAACCACAGCTATTTGGAATGGGTCCAGCCATCCGAACCCAGGTCTCTCAGCTAGCTGTTGGATCAGGGACGTCAGGCGGTAGGTAGCAGCAAATGAGGGCCTGGGAGCTTTCTTCCTGCTTATATACCCTGCCATCATTAAATTAAACTTTTGTCCTTTTCTGTTTCCGTTCTTCTATGCGTTTTGTGAATTTAGTGAGAGGGTAGGGATTAGGGTTAGTGTTTGGGGTTAGTGCTAGGGATTAGTGCACATATGTCAAAGTCAAGGCCTGCGGGCCAGATCCGGCCCGTGAATTGATTATCTATGGCCCGCTGAATGATATTTAATTATTATTAAAACCGTCCCGCAGGCCACAGCTACCCGCTGGCGTTTTGCACGCACCAACACTACATTTCCCACAATGCAACGGTCGCCCGCGAAGTCACTGCAGCTTCATTCAGAGTAGAGATCGACTTTTTGAAACCCCCTCCTCAAAAATGACTAAACGTAAGGTGGAGGCTGAGAACAGCGGGTTTCAGGCCAGGTGGGAGGCAGAGGACATGTTTACGGAGGTAAAAGGCAAACCTGTGTGTCTGCTGTGTGGAGAAAGTGTGGCTGTAATGAAAGAATTTAATTTAAGAAGGCACTGTCAAACGTCTAAGAAACACAAAGACAAGAATATGGAATATGAACAAAAGCTACAGAAGGTGGAAGAATTAAAACGAGCCCTTTAGTCCAGACAGGCTATGTTCACATATGCTAAATCACAAAGTGAGGCCGCTGTCAAGGCTAGCTTTATTGTGCCATAAATGTTTGTATTTTATTTATTTATATTTATCTTTCAGTTGAATGGACTCAGGGAAAATTGCAAATAAGAGCCATGAGAAAGAATACAACTGATTTTATTTATTTTTTAAATTTTACTATTTGAAAGCAGTGATCGGTAGATCATAGAGCAGCACAATAATACATTTTCAGTTTATAATGCATGCACTTTTATTTATGCATTTATCCTGATATTAAGAAACACATTTTGTTTTTAAAAACAATTTAATTTTTTGCTGTTTGGCTGTTGAAAATGTTTTCCCTTGAAGTTACCGACAGAGCCATAACAAAATATTACCATATTCATTTAATCATTGTGAATATGGGGGAATCTCCTCCGGACCGCGCACACCGCATCATCCTGCTGTTTTTTAGTCGGGGAGATGTACTTCCTGTTTCTGTGGTTGATGCCAAAGGAAAGGATGAATGTCTCAACCCTGGTGTTTTCCATCAACGGGACCACGTGTGTGAACGTGGCTCCGGGGAAGGAGTCCACCTGTCCATCCGAGGTCCGGAAAGGTGGGATTCGGGACAGATTGGAGTCCCCAATTATCAGGTGGGTCTTCCGGACGCAGAGGGACCAGTCTTCTGCTTTCCTCTTGGTTTGGGTGTGTGAGGTCACCGTGTGCGTCTCGCTGCTGGTTTTCCTGTTGTCGCTGTCTGAGGGGCTGAAGTAGTAGTAGGATCTCCGTCCTGACCGGTCCACTGCCCCCGTTCCCACGTGGTTGCCGGTGCTCCTCGTGCCCCGGGGCTTCAGGTTGGTGGAGAGGATGT